AACCTCGTTGGATCCAATTCCAAGGAGTGGTTTGTGGACACCGGTGTTACCCGACATATTTGCTCAAACCGGGAGTTATTCACTACTTTTGAGCCATCAAATGGTGAGAAGGTGTGGATGGGAAACTCGGCTCATTCCGCGGTTGAAGGTGTGGGCAAAGTGGTCCTGAAGATGACTTCGGGCAAGGAGCTGACTCTCAACCAAGTGTTGTTCGTTCCGGAGATACGCAAAAACCTGATCTCCGACTCGTTGTTGAACAAGCATGGCTTCCGCATGGTCTTTGAGTCGGACAAACTAGTTTTGTCTAAGTCGGGAATGTATGTGGGAAAGGGGTATGCATGTGATGGGCTGTTTAAGCTCAATGTAACGACTATTATTAATAATAATAATAAAATCCCTTCTGTTTACTTGCTTGAGTCTTCTAATGTGTAGCATAGTAGACTAGGACATGTTAATTTTAATTCTATACGTAGATTAATTAACATGGAGCACATTCCTAAATTCACAATTGATGTGAAGCACAAATGTGAAGTTTGTGTAGAGGCAAAACTAACGAAAACGTCTTTCAAATCGGTTGAAAGAAAAACGGAACCACTTGAATTAATTCATAGTGACATTTGTGATTTTAAATCAATACAAACACGTGGCGGTAATAAATATTTTATTACTTTTATCGATGATAGCACTCGCTATAGCTACGTTTATTTATTAAAAAATAAACACAAAGCAATCGATAAATTCATTCTTTATAAGAATGAAGTGGAAAACCAACTTAATCGACGGATTAAAGCGGTTAGAAGTGATCGAGGTGGTGAGTATGAAGCACCAATTGGTGACTTTTGGGCGAGCGTGGGTATAGTACATGAACGTACCACACCCTATTTACCTCAATCAAACGGTGTTGCCGAACGAAAGAATCGCACATTGAAAGATATGATGAATGTGATGTTAGTAAGTTCGGGTCTGCCACAAAATATGTGGGGCGAAGCAGTCTTGTCAAGCAATTACCTTTTAAATAAGGTTCCCCGGAAAAAATATGATAAAACTCCCAACGAGTTGTGGAAAGGTAGAAGGTCTTCCTATCAATATTTAAAAGTGTGGGGGTGTCTGGCAAAAGTGCTTGTACCAACACCCAAGAAAATAAAAATAGGTCCAAAAACGGTGGATTGTATTTTTATTGGATATGCACAAAATAGTAGTGCCTATCGGTTTTTTGGGTACGATTCGAATAATCCGGATGTACATAAAAACACAATTATTGAATCAAGGAATGCTTCATTCTTTGAAGACGTATTTCCATGCAAGTCCAACGAAGGACCAAGCACGTCAAAACGAACATTTGACGTAGCTATGGAAAATACTAGCGAGGGGTCCGGAGAAGAACCCGAACCCAGACGTAGCAAACGTGCTAGAATTGAAAAATCCTTCGGACCGGATTTTCTCACATACTTGGTAGAATTTGACTCGGATATTCTAACATGTATGGTAGAAAATGAACCGGATTTTCTAACATGTTTGGTAGAAAATGAACCACAGACTTATACGGAAGTCGTGACGTCTACCAAAGGTCCTATGTGGAAAGAAGCCATCAAAAGTAAGGTGGATTCTATCCTTAAAAATCACACATGGGAATTGGTTGATCTTCCTCCAGGAAATAAACCTTTGGGATCCAAGTGGATTTTTAAACGGAAAATGAAACCTGATGGTTCCATTGATAAGTACAAGGCCACACTTGTAATCAAAGGATACAAGCAATGTGAGGGCCACGATTACTTTGACACGTATTCTCCTGTGACGAGAATAAATTCCATTAGGATGATACTAGCAATTGCCGCATTGCGGAAATTGGAAGTTCATCAAATGGACGTAAAAACCGCTTTTCTAAATGGCGATATAGACGAAGAAATCTATATGGAACAGTCCGAGGGCTTTCGTGTTCCTGGCCAAGAAAGGAAAGTGTGTAAATTAATTAAATCATTGTACGGATTGAAACAAGCCCCTAAACAGTGGCACGAAAAGTTCGATCATGCAATGTTAATTCATGGGTTTAAAATAAACGAAAGTGACAAATGCGTCTATGTGAAGAGCACGGTAGACGGCTATGTCATTTTATGTTTGTACGTGGATGATATACTCATCGTGGGTAGCAATAATCTAATGATTAATTCTATCAAAAGCATGTTAAATTCTAAATTTGACATGAAGGATATGGGGCTGGCCGATTTAATCCTTGGGATTAAAAAAATTAGAGGACCAGACGGTCTTACGCTAAGCCAATCCCATTACGTTGATAAAATCCTTACGAAATTTAATAATGATGATTATCAAGAGGCAAGGACTCCATTAGATAAAAACGTACACCTTACCAAAAATCATGGAGAGTGTATTTCTCAAATAGAATACGCTAGGATTATTGGAAGCTTGATGTATCTAATGAGTTGTACCAGGCCTGATATTTCCTTTGTGGTTAGTAAGCTAAGTAGATATACTAGCAACCCCGGTGATGAACACTGGAAGGCAATAGTAAGGGTTTTGAAGTACTTACGTAAAACCCAAAACCTTGGACTGCACTATGGAAGATATCCAGCTGTACTTGAAGGGTATAGCGATGCTAGTTGGATATCCGACATAAAGGACTCTAAGTCTACAAGTGGATATGTTTTCACTTTGGGAGATGCAGCTGTGTCATGGAAATCCTCAAAACAAACGTTAATAGCTAGATCCACGATGGAGTCTGAGCTAATAGCCTTGGATAAGTGCACTGAAGAGGCTGAATGGCTACGCCATTTTCTTGAGGATATTCCAAGTTGGGAAAAACATGTCCCTCCAATATGCATACATTGCGATTGTCAAGCGGAAATTGGAAGGGTACAGAGCAATATGTACAATGGTAAGTCTAGACACGTTCGTCGTAGACATAACACCATTAAACAACTCCTCACAACGAGTGTTATCATTGTTGACTACGTGAAGTCAAAGGATAACATAGCGGATCCGCTAACCAAGGCATTGGATAGAGAATTGTTGGAGAAGTTGTCACGAGGAATGGGACTAAAGTCCGTGAATTGAAAAGTTTTATAGTGGATACCCAACCTAGTTGGTCCTAGGTTCAAACGGGACAACTAAATTATAGAGCGAAGGATGGTCACTGTGGGAGTCCCGGACTCCTACCCACTCCTCGTTAAAACAGTGACTCCCGCACGAGGTTAGCAAAAACGTTTGCTTTAATGATTCTAAAATGTTGATCTACTCGATAACATTGGAAGAGTATGCGGGATACTCGTGAAAGAATCACCTATGTGAGAGAGAAGAGAGCCGCTTCAAAGGAGAACTGTAAAGGCTCAGTTCTTTAGAAACTCTTGCAGAACCAGGACGGTGACCCATGGCCAAAACGGGCACACCCATGAGAACGGAACAAAGTTGGAAGGTTCTTGTGTAAAGATAAGTCAATGTTTACACGACGGCAGTATAGTTCAAGGACATCGAGTCTACTAGACAGCCAGTAAATAAACGTGTCTTTACAACGGAAGGTTCAAAGGATAAAACCTACCTCTTCGTATGCAAGGATCATCCGGTGAACACAACGTGTCCTCCTATCTTCGTGTCTTTTTAAGTCTCGAAAATCAATTTTCATTCATGTGGGGGATTGTTGGAAAAATGTGTTAAAATTGCATTAAATGATCTTTTTGGGGCAATTATTTGAGTGGGGTCCACTTCCGATTTGGGTCGGGTCAAAGTGGTTTCGGATTGTCCTTGTTAAGGGCTACAATTCGATATGTGGTACACTCAAAACGGATAATGGGTGAATGAGAAATTGATTCTCGAAGTTCACTCGTTGAAATGGAAAAACTGGGAAAATGATGGGTTTCTAGTGTGTTTTATCCCACACCGGAAAACTCAAGGGATTTTCACCCCCTTATAAAGGGAAGCCTCTTTTAAGGAGTTAAGATTCCTAAAGGTAAAGGCTCTCTCTTACGCGCAGAGGGGGGGTGCCGATCAAATCCCGAAACGAAGAAGAAAAACCGTGACTCGTGCGCGCGGGCGACCTACGGACATGAATGTCGTCCGAAAATCTATCATTCAAAGATACGGTCTAATTTTTGTTTCTTCCCGTAACATTTTATTTTTCCCAGGACCAGAGGTGCTCGAACTCTGGTGGCTTCGTACCAGAGATGCTCCAACTCTGGTGGGGGTGCTCTGCTGGCTTCGCATCAGAGTTGCTCCAACTCTGGTGGAGGTATTCTGGTAGTAGCATCAGAGTTGCTCCAACTCTGATGGGGGTATTCTGGTCGCGCATCAGAACTCCTCCAAACCGTTACGGAAGTAAATGCCCAATGTTCTTATCTTTTAATGCTACGTTAAATGGACAGTTTATGGACAATTCAATGCCCAATGGACTGGTCATTGATGTCCAACGTTCAGGTCCATTAACACCTCATTTAACACACAACAAATCCTCCTATAAATGGCTGGCAGGTGGTTTGCAACAAGAACAACACACAATACATTCCTCACATTTTCTTGCGAAAAAAAAACTTCAAGCTACTCCGAAATTTCCTAAGTGTTCTGCTATTGTTCCAGTTCGCCGGGACTTTCGTTTGTGTGCTCAAACGATTGTTCGTTAGCCACCGTATCGTTGGAAACGGTCGTTGCAACGCTCCTAGCACCGTGGGAGGCGACGAATACGTTTTAAGGACATCGTGCGTAGCACGAGCTCTGGCTAAAATCTGCTCCATCTTATTTCTATTTTTCTTTAGCTATTTAATTAATTAATTAATTAATTATTTTTTAATTAATAGTTCTTCGTTTTTCCAAAACACACCCAACATGAAAATCATGGTGTTCTCAAACATTCAATGGATTTCTATTATTACTTATTTGGATGGATTTTAATGGACTTTGATGGAATCCATCGAAGTCATAGTTGAGGAAATCTCCTTTCATAGGGATTAATATTATAGAATCAAGCAAAGATTATTTCATCTTTAAGAAAATAATGAAGGAAATTAACGTGCATTGTAAGCCGGAGTTATGCTCCAACAATTTAATATGGAGTATTACTATTATATGGTGCCCCACCCCCTACCGCTTCTATAACACAATTTTGTACATCGACCAACTATCACTTCCCCCCATTTGTTTGCTTTTTTAAAACACGATGATGATTGGCGCATTTTTTGAACTGAAATTTGAACGTATCAAAGAACTCGGTCGGTCCACTAGATTAGATCATTAGATGGTGTAAGGGGGTGGCATAGACGCGCCCTTGACCAAGCCGCAGAGGATCTGGTTGTCCGGCAGGTTGTACTCGTCCCTCAATGATCTCGCCGGAGAAAGGACGCTGATATATAGCTGCTGTCCCAGGTAAGCCTTCTCCATCATTTCTGACCTCAGGTTCCACATCCCGGCGTTGTCCAGCGTAGTCATCACAGCGGCCCAGGAGTTGGGGTAAACTTGGATCGTGTGCCTGCTCACCGCGTCCACCAGGTTGTAGTTCTTCCTCTTCTCCGGGCTCCACCTCCCGGGCTCGATCGCCACCGCAAAGAACGAGTACCCGTCCAGGTGGAATGCCTGGATGCTCCGCTCGCGGTTCTCGAATACGATCTCCACAAAATTCCGGAATGTCGCGTTGAGGACGTTCGGGGCGAGCACCACCAGCTCGTTCTTCTTTAGATCAGACGGTGGTGCGTCGCTCATCACGTCGTACTTGAACACTTTCTCCGCCATCCCAAAGTACTCAGCGAGCTTGAGCGGGGTGTCAGAGGGCGCGTGGGAGATGCCATTGAGCGCGTAGCGGATCTTGCCCCCATCCTGCATCACCTTGGAGTTGAGGATCCGGATGGTGCGGGTGATGTTGATCTGGCCATAGTGGTACGAGCCCTGAGGGTTGGGGCGGGCAGCGCTGGCGGTGAGATTCCACCTGAAGGAGCGGAACTGGTTGATGGACCAGGCGATGCCGTCGGTGTTTTCAGAAGGAGGGGGAGGGATTTCTGGGGAGGCGGTTATGCCGCTGGCGCCGGCGTAGCTGATGACAGCCACGGTGGAGTAGTGCTGCTTCTTGAAGAACCTGCTGGTGGCAACAAGATAGTAGTCCCGAGGCTTTTGATCTGCGGTGACCAGAACCGACAAACACTGGCCCACGTGGAGGTCCAGTGAGTCGTAAACGTTCTGCACCGTATGCGAACCCTCCATCTCCACCAACTTCATCGTGTGCCCCTGAAACCGGAAATTCACCGATGTCCTCAACCCCGCGTTGCAAAATCTGTACCTGCACCATGTACATACACATATTCGTAACATTTCATTTTTACTTTCTTTTTAATAAGTACCCTTCTCTATCTCCTAGAAAAGTGCTCACACAATTAATTGATCCATGTCCCTAATTAAATATTTTGTAGTAAATAAAATTTACAGCTATATTAAAAATTTTATAAAGTCGTAAATTGAATTTTATATACTCCATATAACTAATCAATTAAGGCGCTTAGGTAGGTAGGTACCTGTAAGTCTTGCCAGCTTCCATGGTGAAAAGAGGAGCGGGTTTATCGTCGACCTTGACGTGCTTGCCATTGATGACAAGGCCGTCCGGCCTGGCAATGGAGCGGCCACTGTCCAAAATCTTCCTCAAGGTCTTGTGGCCTTTGGTGTACCAATCGCTCAAGAAGACGTCGAAGTCCTGGGCGGGGGGGTCGAAGGGGACAGGGATGAGGGCACGACTATGGACGTTGATGGGGCCGTAGCCACCAGCAGCACGGTGGAGGGCGGTGGAGGGGAAGTAAAAGTAGCTCCCGATTTGGTCCTTGACCTGGAACTTGTAGGTGAAGTTGGTGGCGGGCGGGATGGGGCACATGGTCCCGGGAGTGCCATCCACCCAAGAGTTCTTCCTCTGCTGGATGCCGCTCCACGTGAAGAGCAGCGGCTCATCAAGGTCATTAAAAACGTTGACGATGATGTTGTTGTTGGAGGTGCAGTTGATCCTGGGACCCGGGAATTGGCCGTTGATGAGGATCCCTTGCTGGGGAACGCCCATGGGGGAGATTGTGCCGTAGCTCACCTTCCACGTGTACACCAAGTATGGGTCCTCACCTCTCACGTTCTGACCCCACAAACAACATACCACCAACACCACCAACACCGTCCCGCTAATTCCTCTCTCCATCATCTTCACCATATATATATATGTCTAATATATATTCTCCTTTACTATTATTTTTTTGTGTTTATTTATTTAATTAATTATTTATTTATAATAAAATTCATGAAGAAGAAGGGGTAGGGGTGGGGTGGGGGCTTATTTTCTTCTTCTTGCTCCTAAGAGTTTGCCATGGATGCTCCCACAATTTATACACTGTGCTTCCCATCTTCCCCGTCATTTCTGTGGCTCTACGCGCGTCTTTTGTTTTTCCTTGATTCAAGCACTTTAATTTCTCCTAGCCTATCCTATTTTATTTTCATTTATTTTATTTTGCGGCATTCCGTGGGATTAGTAAAAAAGCTAAATATGATTGAAGAAATAAATATCTACTAAAACTTCATGACTTTTCTTATAACCTTATTAGTTTTTTTCTCAAAAATAATATGATAGTATTTAAATTCTTAAAATTCAATTAATTTATTAATAAATATGACTAATACACCCTTAGGTTATTCTTATAAAATTCTAATCTCCTATGTGCACGGTGATAACGAATTAACCGGACGGCAAATTTCATGCCTTACCTATAGTTAGATACGATACCCCGACATTGGTTTCTACCCATCCTCAAAACAAATGACGGTGAAACCATTCTCTTGTAGTTCGATCGAACATTCTCTCTGGCACTGGTATCCCAAGATGCTATGATAGCGTCCAACAGTTTGCTAGTTTGTTCTCAAATAATTACCCGGAAGATGGGAGTTCAACTCATCGGTGTGCATCCTTCCGCCCTTTCTCCTGACCGGCCATGTGTTTTTCCTTAAATAAAGTAATCCCTCGTCCCTTTTAATACAGCCAAGCACTATTTTTAAAAGCAATGATGTTTATATTTGACCGATTATATATTTATACACGGTGATATTGATAATATGAAAATGATATGAAATGTTCTTTGTCAAAAATATTATCATAAAAGTATAAATTTATTAAGTTTCACATAATTTTTTATTAAGTTTCACATAAATATATTAGTTAAAACAATGGACCAAAGTTTATTATCTTTGATTGAAAAAATCAAAGATGGCTAAATAAAAAAAGGCAGAGGTAGTACAATTTCAAGATGAATTACCTATAATGATATTAAAATAATTATAAAACTTATGATTCAAATACCCTTCTCCAAATTGAAGGTCCAGCCCGCCTCTTGCGTCTAGCCACTCGACTTCCATTCTCCTTCAAACTCCGATTCATACTGCTAATATGATCCAAAGATCCGGTTCTCATTTTATATGGGACAAAACCCTGACAATAAAAAGCTCATTTGGAGTTCATAGGATGGATATTGTTACCCGCTTGAAGAAAATGGATTAGGTTTTAGAAATCTTACCGTCTAGACAATGATGAGCACCATTTTTTTCAATGGGAGAGTATCTGAGCGGATCCTCTCTTAGCGTCTTGCTGACATAAAAGATTGTCCGTGAATGCTCTCATCTTCTCGGATGAGCACCAAACTGATGGCCGAGGTGCTCACCCCAAGGTACAGGAAGAGTGTTGATAGAGTATATGGGCCCAGACCATATGGCCCACATACTTAGAACACCAAGACAACTGACATGTGGCTCGGCCCCCGTCGACCAGACTAAGTGGCCCACATAGAAACATCCAGAACCCAGAAATAGAGGCCCAACGTCTCCCGTGACAAAGTGTCTGATCCCTTCGGCGAGGACCTCCATCGGCTAGGCCCCTCTTCCGCCAGAACATCTCCATTAGACTGTATTTTGTACTTAGCTCTAGAAAGCATGTAATTAGCCCATTAAAGGCCTTATTTTGTACAAGGCTTGAACCTGGGAGCCCAACCCACATTTCCTCTATAAATACTACCCTGAGTGGTAGTTGTAAGGGGTTGAGAAATATTAATTACAAGCACTTTTTCTCTCTAGCTCTCACTTCTCTCTAGACCTATACCCTAACATTTCGGCTGCTATAAGAACAACATGTAGATGGTAAACACATCAGACGAATACCTATCCCGATGATTCCTCTCCACTCTTAAGGGCCCGACATTCGAATGGTTTAATGCGCTACCTGAAGGTAGTGTGGACTCGTGGGAGGATTTGGCACAACGTTTCCTGACACACATCGCCGGAAGAAAGCGCAGCCCCTTCATAAAACTCATGTTGTACACCCCAAAATACCCCGCAGGCGGTGAAAGAACGTAGTTCGTCGGGTTTGGTGCTCTAACTCTACCATACAAGCCGACGTACATCTGCGCAATATGCCAATCACTCACTGAGCATTCAGGACGAATGATGAGCATATTCTAAAGACCCAGATTCGATAGACATGGACACAGACCTATATGCCGCCGTGATCTACGTGCTCGCTTCTGGTTCCCAGAAGAACTGTCTGCATGAACAGTCGATATGGGTGGAGGACAGGGAATGGCCACAGAAGTGGAAGCCCCTCTCATTCGGTCTCAACATATGACGTAGAACCATCATCGACCATCGTCCTCTCCTCGTCGTCCTCAGTACGATACTCGTTGGTGTTCTCCATCTCCGCGTTGAAATCCTCTACCGGTCTAAGCATCACCTTCGGCTTAGAGAACGTGTCATCCTCGTCAAAAGAGAAATACTCTTTGTCTAAAGAAGTTGACAAATCAAGGGGGTTAGGAAGGCGATGGTTATCAGGGGATGGCATAACTACAAACAGATCCTAAGGGAGGTTTTTTTGGATCTAAGTGGATTTTCCTACAAACACTAGATCTAACCCCCCAAAAGCAAAGTATAAACAAAAAATGAAGAACGAACAAGGAAATGACCTTGAACACTTAAAGAATGTGAAGAACACTATATCTCTCAAGAAATGAGAAAGGGTGCTTCGGGGGGTGGGGGGTATTTATAAAGCCCCCTCCAAATAGTCATCACATATGGCGCCCAACCAGTGCCCACACCAACGGTCACCTCCAAACGTGACCAATCAAACACTAGCCACCTTACTATCAAAGCAGCCGCACCCATATCGACCAATAAACCGGCATAACATTCCAAACACACAATGGCCACATCATAAACACAATCACTCAGCGGAAAGTATGTCAACCTACCCCTTCAGTTTTCATTTCATCAAAAAAGGCATGCCCTCTGCCAAAAAACAAATGGTGAGTACACCCTCAAGCCAAAGGCCCCTCGCACAGAACTTATAGACGATAACCTCTAGCCTGCGACCTTCGTCCAAGGATTCTCCCAAGGGGTTACCTTGGTCAGGGATTGCCAGGAGGTTGGATTCATGAGGAATTCGAGGTACCGCACCGGCTTAGATCATCTGCTTACTCCTTCACCTAACACACACTTACGGCCTGAAGGAGTGGGGGACTGCATCTCGGCCAGAATTGGCAAGCTTCAAAATAATCAAACAATCAAAAGAAAAATGAATGACACATTCCGGCGTACAATCAGTGACACGTAACATCCAAATAGACCGAAGAGCACGACACGGCCAAACAAAGAAACAACATCGCATCGGCTTAAAAGCATATCTCCACATCGGCTAAAGATGAAACAAACCAGAACAGAAGCATATAAATATCCTACTCTCGTTCACTTGGACATGTCTCAACTCAGAGAGTGGGGGACTCCTGATAGAGTATATGGGCCCAGACCGTATGGCCCACACACTCAGAACACCAAGACAACTGACGTGTGGCTGGGCCCCCATCGGCCAGACGAAGCGGTCCACACAGAAACATCGAGAAGCCAGAAACAGAGGCCCATCGTCTCCTGTAACAGGGTGTTCCTTCGCCGAGGCCCTCCATCGGCCAGGGCCCTCCTCGACCTGCCACCTCTTTGTCCAGAACATCTCCAGCAGACTGCATTTTGTACTTAGGTCTAGAAAGCATGTAATCAGACCATTAGAGGGTAGTTGTAGGGGGTGAGAAATATTAATTACAAGCTTTTTCTCTCTCTAACTCTCACTTGTTTCTAGATCTATACTCTATCAAGTGTCTTCCCTATTTTGGGTTTTGAAAGGACGGGGGAGTAAAGTATTGATTGTTTCTCGAAGGCTTGTTGCCACTCCATAGTCCACTTGAATCCTTCTGTTCTGCACATGATCTGGAAGAAGGGGAGTGATCTCTTGGCCGACTTGGAGAGGAAGCGATTGAGGGAGGCTAGCCGATCGGTCAACCACTAAACTTCCTTGACGTTTTGAGGGGACTCCATGTCTATGATTGCTATGTTTTTTACTTGGTTGGCCTCAATGCCCCTTCGGCTAACCATGTTCCTAGAAATTTTCCTCCCTCGACGTAGAAAGTGCACTTTTTTGGATTCAGGCACAGGTTGAATCTCTTAATGATCTCAAATATTTTCCGGAGGTCACAAGCATGGCTAGATGATTGTTTTCTATTGATGATCATGTCAATGGCATACACCTCCATCATCTGGTCGAGGAAAACTCTTAACATCTTGTCCACCATCCTAGTGTAAGTGGCCTCCGAAGTCTTTTAGTCCAAAGTCCGTGAAGAGGTAGCAGAAGATTCTATTTCGTGTCACGAATGTCAGAAGTTGTTTTTTTCTCGGTATCATCCTCGTGCATGAAGATTTGATAGTATATTCGAAATGCATTGAGGAACGAAATCAGCTCGTAGTCCACTATCTCATCCACCAGCTGATCGATGTTAAGGAGAGGGAACGGGTCCATAGGGAATGCCCTTTTGAGATTGTTGAGAATATTTTAATGGTGTCCAATCTGGTTAAACATCTTTGTATTTGTGTAGTTATTAATTAAATGTGTAATATGGGCCACAAATGTGTATCAGCCCGTTAGCTTCTTTGTAATCCATAAGTTAGCCAACTTCTCCTATAAAAGGAGGCTAACTTATGGAAACCCTAACGATTGAGGCTTTAGAGAATAGAGGCGCAGAGATAGAGAGATTAGCGGCCATTAATACGGTATACCAGATTCGTTGTTCATTCATCTTCATATCTATCTATCTGCGTCTTCTTCACTGCTTAGATTGTTTGTTTGTTAAGAAACGGGCCTATCAATTGGTATCAGAGCCGAGGCGTGAAACAGGTTGAATATATCTGCGATTTTTCTGATCTGCAACTTTCTGAATCGAACGACCTTTGTGTTTCTCTGGTTTTTCGAGTTTAGCCTTTGTAATCTTAATACTGGTCC